GAAAAAAATTCGGCCCGGGCATTTTTTAATTACAGCGGCCTACTAAGAATTAAATAAATAGATGAAGGATCCCAGAAAAGGACTGGACAAATCCTACACGTCCTGTCAGGACAAACCTTTTAATATCGTACACCTGTACAGTTTTTGATCAGATAAACTGTGTTTCCAAGTAAAGAAGATTAAATATGGCCACCATAGAGCAAGGGAAAATCAGGGGGTGCACTGAAGGGAGATATTTATTTAAATGCATGTACTACGAAATAATACACACAGGGAATTTTTATTTTAAATAAGCAAACCAGATAACAGAAGATAATCAGTATAATTTATATCAATCATAAAAGGGACTCTCCAAAAAAAAGCTCATGATATACGTTATGGTGCAAGAATATCCCCTGTTGCTATTTCCTTGCACATAGTTGTTTAGCAAGGCTCATCTTCCTGTCCGCCCGCACCTCCCACGCCTCACCCTTCTGTCAGTCCCTACATTGGCTTCCTATAAAATATAGAGCTCAATTTAAAATTCTGGTTCTTGCTTTCAAATCTCTACATAATGCTGCTCCCACCTATCTATCCTTCCTTATACACAAGTATGTCCCGCCTAGGCCCTTACGATCTGCTGAAGACTTGCGTCTATCTTCTGTCCGTACTCCCACCTCTGATGCTCGCCTTCAAGATTTCTTGAGGGCTGCACCGTTCCTGTGGAACTCGCTTCCCTCCTCCGTTAGATGCTCACCCAGTCTTCACTCCTTCAAAAAATCGTTAAAAACCCACTTCTTCATAAAAGCATATCCATTAAACTGTTAATAGCTCCTGACTGATTCCTCTTCTGCAACTGTCACCAGTCTAATACTATCCTTACCTTTTTGTGTCATTTTACCCCACTCCCTTTAGCATGTAAGCTCATTGAGCAGGGCCCTCAACCCCTCTGTTCCTGTGTGTCCAACTTGTCTGGTTACAACTACATGTCTGTTCGTCCACCCATTGTAAAGCGCTGCGGAATTTGACGGCGCTCTATAAATATCTTAATAATAATAATAACAGCAATTTTTTACAAAAATTGCTAAAGCTATAACTAACTCACAAAACATGATTTAAGGAACAGCTCTTCCCACTTCTCCCATGCAGACTCTATTATTGGAGAGGGCAGGGACAAGCTGCGACATCCCATCTCAGCCCTCTCCACACAGCTCTAGCACCGAGTTTTCTGAGTACGGCCTGAGAGCACTGCACACCCTGGTGGCCGGTGACGATATTGCTGAACATTCTCTTTAAAGAAAAATACCGGTAATTGTATTGCCGGTATTTTTGAAATACCGGCACTGGCCACAGTGCATTAAATACTGGTAAAATACCGGCCAGGTGGCAAACCTAGTGTGTGGTCATGTGTTTCACTTAACGCCTCCATTTTAGAACTGCAATACTTTTGTTATTTTAGTTTTTGTAGCAAGCTCTAAAGAAGTACCTAACAAAACTATTTTCAGAACTCCCTGGATCTGTAAACATCTCATTGGTTATTATAGGACATCAAAAGGATTCAACTCTCTCCATTGTGGAATTATTTGTGTAAACTTTTACTAATTTTATCTACCTTTCTAAACATCACAGAATGTTCACATCTCACTATGGTGGCTAAAATGAGAATACCATGAGTACCATACTATTACGGGTCAGAATGATAATTGACATTCCTCTTTATTTTAATTTCTTTTAATGTTTTTGTGGAGTCAAATGTTTGTTTTCTACCATTCTGTTTTTAACATTCACCACATTGTGCCACTAACATAAATATTACAGTTAAGTCTCTCTAAATCAAGCATGAGTGGCTCAGTGAAATGTGAGGGGACATTAACACTTGACTTTGTTTCTTTTATATTTAAATTGTATTTTTGTGTTCATTCTTTTTACATACATATTAGTTTAATCCTTTTACAAGTGACACCAATACTTTGTAGACTGGGACGAATTTATAGCAAAGTCTCTGTTGCACCAATTATGTATGGGTCGTTTTCCTTTTACATTGGAATGAAAGTATATCTGTTTATCTGTTGTCCAAGCAATATTTTTTCCACCTGCAGATAGCACTATGAATTAATCATATTCATGTGTATATTCACTTTCCTTAGAAATCTACCTATTGTACAGCGCTACGGAATTTGATGGCGCTATATAAATTCTAAACTAATAACTTGTGTTTTAGAGTGTTGCAATATGACATTCTCTGTCCATTTTGTATCTATGATGTAAGCTGAGGAACATCAATCAAGCGTAGTACATCTCTTGAAGATTTTATGTTGGTTGTTTAACTTATTTTGTTATAACAGAGACATCTGTTAATATACAGATGTTCTGTTCTTTATTTGTCATTTGTATATATAATAATTCGGTGCAGTATTTAGATGTGCACTCCACCCTTACCTTTGGCTTTGTTGCATTGGTTCTTGGCCATCTCTATTAATTGTTGCACACAAACTATGTCATCCTAAAGGAACACTATATGGTCTGGAACACAAACACATTTTCCTGACCCTATTTTAAAACCACTATGTAGCCCTCCGGGCTCCTGCTGCTGCTGGCTCTGCCCCTGATCTGCCTGCTTGGCTGACATCATCAGAAGTGGTGATCTGAGCCAATCACAATGCTTTTATAGCACAAGCCAAACACATCCCTGGCCAATCAGCATCTCCTCATAGAGATGCATTATATCAATGCATCTCTATGAGGAAAGTTCAGTTCCTCCACGCAGAGGGTGGAGACACTGAATGTCCGTCACACTGTGCAGCACTACCCCAGGAAGCACCTCTAGAAGGGGAGTGGTCAGTGGAGCTATCCATAGGCTGTAATGTAAAAACTACCTTTTCTCTGAAAATACATTGTCTATTGCAAAAAGCCTGAAGGGAATTATTATACTCAGCAGAACAAATACATGTAGTTCTGTAGCTGTAGTTCTGGTGACTATAGTGTCCCTTTATTGGTGTGTCCCTTTTTATGGATAATATAAAAATTTTCATTCAAGAGAAAAAGCAATGTTTATTTTTGTCTGAAACATGGTATGGTGACATCCTGTCATCAGACTAATATGGTACCAGGGGTCATGTGACCAAGCTCAGGTATCCCTTTCTTACCCTTTGATATGGTAATTACGTAATTCAATAGCTTTACAAGTCAGGAAATTCAATACCTTTACAAGTCAGGAAAGCGACAGCCATTTCCCCCTATCTCTGTTGCTCCCTGTTTCTTCTGACAAAAGGCAGAGCTCCTCTCAGACTTTGTCTATGGAGGGTCTTGTAATGGACCTCCATAGACCTCAGTGTTGTACAGTACTCAAGCACATATGCAGGCGTACAACACTGACATGGCTCCT